ACATAGCTCAAAGTGTTCACTTTGAGGATTATCTTGACGAGTAGCCAAATTATACTTAAATTACACTTGTGTGAAGTGTGATAAGGGTCTGTTGATCTCACATGACATATCTCAAATACTTCTTATTTGACTGTGCTAAAAACTGTGACAAAATTTCGCTTTGACTAACTCCAGAGCGTGTGGAACTGCTGTTAGAGAGTTGGGCTTCTTTTTTAGTTAGTAAAGGGGTTAGGGGTTAGATACATGCAGGTATCACCTAACCCAACAATAATAAGTCTGTTAACCGCAATTAACAAGAATTTGATTATGCATTGGCTAAAAGTCCTAAAATTCTGGAAATAATAACCTCAGGTAATGGAAAGCTAAATGCTTAGAAACTGTGTCCTTAGAAACTGTGCAGGAATCAGTCTGGCTCACTTTCTTTTTATATGTTATTCAACGATAATAATAATAATATAATGATAATAACGGTTTATTGGCAGAGTTTCCAGGGGAAAGGCCGTTTCTTCAGCAGCTAACTTAGGGTCCATTACCAGCCGCTGTTTCGGGAAGTGAGCCCGCGCTTACCCATGGAAGAGTTTCTTCTTGGGAAGGAACGAGACCGGAGCCGAACAAGTAGCGGAAAATTTCTAACCACTGCTACGGAGACTGGAGTTACGCTTAAAACATGCTTGAGGTTAAACACTACTAAGATCTTAAAAGACTAATGCGCGCGACTGATAAAAGAGTTACAACACATTCTTGAAGATATTTTCGAGTTGTACTAAAAAGCCCGTCTCTGTTCTTCAACTAATGAACCATAAAATAGACCTTCTCAGACGTCAGAGTGTGCTATAAAGCATTCGTATCTTGAACTTATTTACTGTAAAAGGCATTCCAGTGGGACTACCATAAAAATAAACTTTGAGAAAAGTTCTATAAATGCACTTTAGGTTATGTTTCGTTATCTTGAACTTATTTCAAGCGCACGTGTTGTCGGAGCATGTATAGACAAAAAAACAAAACAAAAAAAACAAAACAGAGAATATGTCGAAGATCTAAAAGCTTGCACGCAATCGAAAATTACTTTTACTTTGTAGACTTTTCTTTATCTCACTCTTTGCATTATCTTTCCTTCAGAAAACAGTTTTTCATTATAGCTTCGGTGTATATTTTAAAAACACTTTGGAGTGTTTGCGTGCCATAAAAAATAAGATAAGAACGTTATCTCTGTATTAAGTTAATCCTTACTTTCCTGTGTGTCTGATGAAGCTCCGGGTCACCATGCACATAAGTCGACAATACAGAAATACAGGTATAGCTTTTTT